TATATGAAGTATATGAAGTATGTATACCTATCAGGTTTAAAGACCAGGTTCTTGTAAGCAAACCACTGTAGGTACCCATGGGAATAAATCAGATGCGTTAGATTGTATGTCATGTGTTTTCTTTTTCATAGGCATGTAAAAAAAAAAAAAAAAACTCAAAAGTTTATAATTAATTAAGCTTACTCCAGTACAACCGATTCCAACAAGCTCCAGAACTCCTGGAATTAATGGAAGCCTATCTATTGCCTGATCCAAGAAACAATGCCACATTTACTCTAAAAATTACCATTCAGGTTCTGAGGGCTCATGACGTTACAAGTTTTTTAACCTGAGTACCATGTATGTATGAAAATTAGAGGTGCATGTGCTCACCGAGATCATTCCTGCGGAGCCCCAAAGAAATACAACTCCGGCCACAGCAAGAGAACTCACTGCATATTTATCTTCAACTTTGTCCCACTATATGTAATTTGAAAGTAATTTTGATTTAGGAAGCATTAGTTAATAGTACATTATATGGGATATAGAGATGCAGCATAATTGTTAATTATGAGAATCTATAGAAAGGAAAAAGAAATCCATATACATACTGCCTCTTGGATTGGTTTAATGAGCTCTGGAAATTCGGTTGAGACAGCCTCAGCAGGTGCTGCCTCTCCAGTGGCCATGGCAGCAACATTCCGTGCTAACTTTCGACCTGATATATATACCAACTATGTACGTAATGTAATCTGTAAACAACTAAACTGTATATTATAAGCAAGGCCATACATAGTAAAGAAGAGTAGAACTAACAGTAGCCAGTTGCCTTCCAAGCACGGTTCTGCTGCTTGAGAGGTGGGGGTGGGAGAGATGGAAGCGTGACACACTGGGAGGATGCAGGGGCAGCTGATGGTCGTGGAGGAGCCTTGCCGTCAATAATGGTGGTGGAAATCGAATGTGCGGTGGTTGCCATTTCCCTAAATAGATTCAGCCGACCCTTTTTACGTTTCAGAAACTAGCTATATTTAAGATCTTCTCACTGTTTGTTTCTTAATTCCAGACTCTTACCGAAGATGAGGAAAGCAAAGAAGTTGGAATATTTTGCCACAACTTAAGCTTGGAGGAGATCCAATTCCTTTGAAACGAATGGAATCGTAACGGACAACCAACCATTTTTTTCATCATCTGGATAGTGCTGACGTGTTCCTTTGGATAGGATAGCCATAATATTGAATTTCAAGTAGGGTTACACGGATGGTCCCTGTAGTTTAAGGTATTCTTCTTGTTTGGTCCCTGACAAGTTTTTTTCACTCGAACTATCCTTATGGTTTGCTTTTGTTGTGCGTCTGGTCCCTGGTCGATGTAGAAAGACAGTTATACCCTTCTTATTTTATTTTTACTTTATTTTTATAATAAACTATAATACAAATAAGACCTACCCTTACTCCTTATTTCTTCCCATTTTTCATCTTCTTCTTAAACATTAAAACAATAAAACCTCAAATATGATGAAATCTTTAACTCAAATCCTATGCCAATAATGAAATCCAGACTAATCCATTCAAACCCGAACATTAAACAAATCAAATATTTAAAGACAAATTAAAGCAGGCACCAAATCAAAATTCACCTGTGTTTTTCGAAACCAAAAAAAATGAAAGCCACCTGCAGTTTTAATGTCAAACAATTCGAAGCATTCTTGGGGTTTTTTTAAGGATGTTTTTGTTTCATATCTTAAAATACAAAGCATATGGTCTTTTAAGAACCTGCAACTCAATCCAAAGGAACTTATTCCCAGATCCATGTGTTTTAGTTTAGAGATGATTAAGAGAAACTTTCTCGTTGTTTTAGTGTTTTTAACTCAGTAAGGGGAATCCCCACTTCAAAGCTCCAATATTGACTTTCAATGTCTTCACATCCAACGATGAACCAAAACCAGACATAAATCGAGCAAGGCAAAATTGTTCCAGAACCAAACCAAATCAGTACTTTTTTTTTTAATGGTTTCTTTTAATTGTTTTTTTTATCTTTTCTGTTGGTCAATATAGTGGTGTCCACATGTTTTGATGAACTTTGCCCATAATTGCTACGTGTTATTGTTTGCTCCACCTCCCACAGCTTCCAATTATATTCGGACAACAGATCTACCACCGCCTCAATACGCCTTCTGCTTTGACTTCTCATCGATCTCCGATAGCTTTACTTCAGGCGTCCCCCCACTTCCTTTTCCACTCCGTCTTTCGATTTGCACGTTACATCTTTTCCTCTCACTAGCCCTAAATTTGATTTCTATTTCTATATGAACCGATTTCTCCCCCCCATCTCCATCGATTCGACGCCGTTGCTCAGCCCAACTTCCGATGGCATCTTCCACAACCGCCAATTCATCAGAGGTACTCCCACCCTCCGTGGTGCTGCGAGATTCCTCCGCCGCCTTACTAGCCGACAGATGCTCCGTCAGCCGTAGATACATGTGAGGGAATCTGCGGCTGAGCAAATCGAAAAACAGCAGACCGATTGGGCTTACTCACGGCCGGTTGTGATCCTAGGCCTAATTTGGAACCTTGCGTTCATTGTTGTTTCAATTTCTGTGCTGATTATGAGTCTAAAGGAGAATCCGAAGAGGCCTTTCAGGCTTTGGATTGTTGGATATGTGTGCCAGTGTTTGCTTCATATGATTTGTGTGTGTGTGTGTGTGTTGAGTACAAACACAGATACCAGCAACTTTCATCGGATTATGGTGGCAATTTGAGATCGGAAGTTAATAATGGAAATCGAAATCCAAATTCGAGTTCCAACTCTTCGAGCTCAGGGAGCGATGAAGGGGAGAATGCAGATTTTGTGTCAAATAGTTTGCAGAATGATGATGATACCAGGTACAATCTTTAACCAAATCTTCCTATAGTGTTAACAAACACAAACGCCTTTCATTTTATTTTATTTTTTGAAGATGTCGATGATCTTGATTTCTTTGGTGAGAGACGGAAGAGGAAAAGATGGCAACTGAATCCCACCACCACAAACTTCGTCTCTCACCCTCTCACTTATCGCATCAACAACACCGGTCACCACTACTACTCTACCTTCTCTACCAAATTGCAGCTTCTGAGCCGAACAACCACCACTGCTGCGATTCAGCACCAGTTGAAAAGCACCGCTCCTGCTCCAAACAGTTATCTTCACCAATTCACCAATTCATATAATTTTTATCCATTCTTTTTATTTGTTATACAGTTGAGCCTCAGAATATGTTATGTAGTTGTGTTTTGTATGTTGTTGGGATGGTTTTAATTTAATTCTTAAACTTTTAAATCCAAAATCAGAAAAGGGAAGTTTGTCAACTGAAAATGGTTTTAGAGACAATATAGGCAATTTGAGGCTATTTACTTCCAATTAAATGATTTTTGTTACTCTATTTGTATAAATGTTTGTGGTATGGTTGTTATTTTTCAGTTATTGTTTTGCCTTTGAAAATGTTGGTCTTTTGGTATTTATCTGTTCCATTATAAAAATATATATTAATTATTATCTGTTATATGATTTTTTTTTGTTTTTTGACTATATGCAGGATTATCAACGAATATCCAATGTAGCAACATGTGATTCACTGATTAATCATTAGTTTGAAGAAATTCTTTAACTGTGCAAAAATGAGGTAAATTTTTTGGATTTACTATAATTGTATAACATAAACACGGATTGATTATATAAGGAAAACGAATGAGAAATTTTAAAGATCAACTTTTCAGTAATTTGATAGATGTCCTGATTTTTTACTAAGGCATTTGTGGGTACTTTATAAAAATTGCACATTAAAGCAGTGTACTTTATAAAAATTAGCTTTCATGACTTTTTAAAATGACACATATTTGTGATGTGCAGGTTTGAAAGAATTTTAAGGGGATGAGAGAGAATGACTGAATGAGCTATTGCTCAGTTGACACAAAATTACGACTGGTGCAATCAAACAACCCAAAAAGGTTTCCGTTTAAAACTCTAAATTTTCTTTCTGAAGATCCAGAAGAACACGAGGGAAGCTTTACCTTTATATTTTTAGTGTTTTGTGAAGGGTTTCATTCACATATTTGGAGTCATTTATACGCAAGAGCTTAATATTGTGTTTAATTTGGTGTAAAAGCTTACTAGCATTTTATTTTTCAAAGTTTTAATGGAGTTGAGAAACATATAAAGGACGTAATGTTTATATTAATAAATTCAATTTTTACAGTTTTAGGACCATATTGCCCCTGCACACTATTTTTATATTAAAAAAACTTCAATTTTTACAGTTTTAGGACCATATTGCCCCTGAACACTTTTTATATTAATAAAAATCAATTTTTATACTTTTAGGACGATATAGCCCCTGCATACTGTTTTAATATTAAAAAAAATATTTTTTTGCATTTTTAGGACCATATTGCCCCTGCACACTTTTTATATTAATAAAATTAATTTTTTACAGTTTTAGGACCATATTGCCCCTGCACACTGTTATTATATTAATAAAATTCAATTTTTACAGTTTTAGGACCATATTGCCCATGCACACTGTTATATTAATAAAATTCAATTTTTACAGTTTTAGGACCATATTGCCTCTCAACACTGTTTTTATTGGGTGGATTTTATGAAATTAATTGCAGCCTGAACTTTGTGATACTTGATTGTAGCCTGATTGCATGTTCTGAAATAGAATATTAAGTTCATATGATATCCATTTCTTCCTTTCTTTGTCAACAAACCAGAATTACCCCATTATTGGTTTCTTAACGCCTTTTCTTCATCCAATTTTGATATAATGTTATTCTTGTACAGGTCCTTCAAGGTAAAACTTATCAATATCCATTGGTGGGAATTGTCAATAGATCTCAAGGTGAAGAGTGCCTTCAAGGTAAAACTTATCGTCTTCAATATCCATTGGTGGGAATTGTCAATAGATCTCAAGGTGAAGAGTGCAAAAGTATTTTGCTAAAAGTTCTGATTATGGGCATTTGGGAAATAAAATGGTTAACATTTGTAACTCAATAAAATCTTTCTGTTATTTCCAATTCTTTGGCGTCCAATCCCGCAAAGCGAGTTTCTTCCCTAGTTTGTAATTAACATTGCTGAATTGGTGCAAGGAAAAATCACATTGTTTTGGGTTAATTAACAGCAAAGTTTAAAATTATTTCTTTTTATATGAAAAACTTTAAAAATCCGATACACTACTAGAATATGGGGTTTTTGCTACAAAAGGTTCCGACCGATACAATTTTGTTGGTAATTTCCGACAATTCCCACAAACTGGCGACAAAAATGAAAATCCTAGGTTGCTTTTAGTTGTGGAAAAACAGTTTTCTGTTTTCCGTTTTTAGTTTTCGTTTTTTGTTTTCCGTTTTCATTGGAAAATTTAGAAAACAGCGTTTAGTTAAGTATTATTCATTATTCATTTTCTGTTTTAGAAAATTAGAAAACGCGTTTAGATGTGTATTTTTCTATGAGTTT